GACGGGCAGGGATGGGGGGACGGGGATGGGGACCCCCGTGGCGGTGGCACCCACCTTTCAGCTTGCGTAAGGATGCTTCGATCTCTGTCTCGATCAGAGGAAAGTCCTGGCGGCTGGGGCAGCTGGATGGGACGGGGGGGTCAGAGCCAGGACCCCCCAAAGCCATCGCACCGCGTCCGCCCTTCCCACCGGCCGCGTCCTGCCGAGGCTCAGCGGACCCAACCCGTCACCCCTCCATCGCCCACCCCGTGGCCGTGGGGACCCCCCAAACTCGCCCCCCCCGGGGCTGACACTCACAGGCTGACCGTCTGCTGGATGACCTTCATCCAGTTGTTGCGGTCATCGCGGGAGGCGGCGTGGACCTCGTACATCTCCGGCGGCGCCGCGCTGATCAGGAACATCCCCTTCTCCTGGTTGGCGATATCCCGCACGATGAGGTTTTGCAGGGAGATGACGGCCGGCTTGTCCTGCGGGACAGGTGACGGGGTCGGAACGCCATCCCGGTGCTGGCACAGCCGTCCTGGCAGCGATGGGGGGCCGGGATGCGGGGGGCCAGGCGGCAGCGGCTCACCAGCATGGGGAAGGTGTATTTCTGGTCCTTCTCTTGCAGGAAGATGAGGACGTCCGTCATGAGCAGCACCAGGACGTCTGGGAGGGAGCGCAGGGACGTGAGACGCTGGGGTGGGTGCGAGGCCGTGGCGTGTCCCGCCCCGCAGAGCCCCAGGGCCCCCTGAGTCCCAGGGCTGCTCCGAAATTCGTCCATGGAGGGCGAGGGCCTCCTGGCACCCCTGTGACCTGGCACCCTGCTCCGCAGGCACCCCCATCCCCTGGCACCTCGATCCCCTGGCACCTCAGTCCCCTGGCATCTCCATCCGCAGGTACCACCAATCCCTTGGTACCACCAGCTCCTGGGACCCTGCTACCCCGTCATCGTCATCCCCAGGTACCCTCATCCCCTGGACCCCCATTCCCTGGCACCCCAGTCCCCCAGCATCCCCAAACGCAAGTACCCTCATCCTCTGGCATCTTCCACCCCTTGGCACTGTGGTCGCTGGCAGCCCCATCCTCAGGTACCTCCAATCCCCTGGCACCCCACTCCCTGGCACCCTGGCCCCCCAGCATCCCCATCCCCTGGTACCCCACTCCCTGGCACCCTGGTCCCTGGGTATCCCCATCCCCTGCTAACCCCATCCCACAGCACCCTGGCCTCCCAGTATCCCCATCCCCTGCTACCCCACTCCCTGGCACCCTGGCCCCCCAGCATCCCCATCCGCTGGCATCTCCATCCCCAGCACCCCGCTCCCCACCTTTGAAGCGCCCGGCCGCCGTCTTCCAGAGCATGCAGCCGCTGTGCACCAGCTTACGCCGCAGGAGCTCGTCCTTGCCGAAAACGCCGGCGCGGCTCTCCCATGGCAGCTGCACTTTGGCCCGGCCGTCCACACGCCTGTAGACGTCCCACAGCCGCGCGTTCATCTCACACGTGTGCACCTCCTCGTTGATGGAGGAGATCAGCTCCTTCACCAGCTTCAGCGCTCGCGACAGGTCCGCGGAGTCACCCTCGTTGTCTGGGATGAAGGGTTGGGGGACACGGTCAGGGCTGGACCCCCCAGCACGGGCCCCCCACGTTGCCGCCCGCCCCCAGCCCCGTTACCTTTGGAGTTCTTCAGGATGCGCTCGATGAGCACCGGGTACTTGGTGATCCTCTGCGTCACCAGCAAAATGCACTCGGGCACCCCGTGACGTCGGAGCAGCGGGGATCGCGTCATCCGCTGGCCGGCCGGAGGGAGGGAAGGAAGCACAGGGCACCCCGTGAGCAGCGGCCGGACCCCCCGGGGCACGTAACCACGTTAAGAGGCATTGGGGAGAGACGTGCAGCCGGGGAAACCGAGGCACGGAGTTGGCAGAAGGGCCTTCCAGCAGGGCACGAAGCCCGGAGCCCGCAGGGAGACCCCGACACCCATCCCGCGGGTCCCTCCGGAGCCGCGCGGGGATGACGGGCGCTCACCCGGATGAACTGCTGGAAGCGCTTGTCGCGAGCGAGCAGGTCCTTGTACTCCTTCACGGCTTTGGTGTGCTTGCTGCAGAACTCGGAGTAGGCTTTCTTCAGCTGCTCCGCGCTGGCGCCCGAAAACTTGGGGGATGGAGATGAGGGGAGGTCAGTGAGCCCGTACCCTCCCCGCCAGCACCCGCCAGCTCTGGTGGCCCCGCACCGTCCCCACCTGGTTGACGAGGATGTCCCCCAGCCGGTTGATGACAAAGTTCTTGTTGCTGTCGTGGGCCAGGGACTCCCGGCGACGCTCCAGGAGCTGCGCCAGGAACCGCTCGTGGATCTGGCTCAGCTCATCCACGCAGGGGAAGATTTTCTGCACCGTGCCCGGGTCCACCTGCAGATCGTCCAGCATGGCCTTGCGGAACATGTTGGCCATGATCTTCAGCGTGCGGACGTGGTGGATCTCCGTCTGGATCAGCTCTACGGCAGGAGGGGATGGGTGAGAGCGGGGGGCCCCCGCGGCGGGTCCCAGCCTGCTCCGCACCATGGGGACAGCACCTCGCCCTGTCCCCACCGCCTCCGTCTGTCCCCCATCTCTTCATCCCCATCCCTACATCTCCGACCTGTCTGTGTCCCCCGTCCTGTCCCCACGTCCCCCATCCCTGCATCCCTGGTCCTGCATCTCTGACCATCCCTGTGTCCCCTACCCTGTCCCTGTGTCCCCTACCCTGTCCCTACATCCCCAATTCACCCCTGTACCCCGTCCCCCCATGTCCCCCCCCCGCGCCACCGGTCCAGGCCTTCCCCACGCGGCCGCCCACCGTAGATGACGTCCTGGCGCTTCATGACGTCCATCTTGTGCTGCTGCAGGTAGCTGTTATCCACGGCCAAGCTCCAGGAATCCGCCTCGAAGTCCTTCCCGTCCGTCTCGAAGTCGCTCATCAGCTGGTTGAGGATGACGTCGGGGCCTGCGCGGGAGGGCGGTGGGAGCCGGGGGGGGCTGGCCCCGCGCCCCGTGTCCCCCCCAGCCCGTGTCACCCACCCCGGTGGGTCCCCACCTTCGTCGATGAGCGACTCCACGGAGAGCGTGCGGTTGCGCATGTTGAGGGAGTCCGTGGACTGGGACAGGATCCGCCGTATCCCCAGGGGAGACTCATCGTTGAACGTCCTGGGGGGGGCATGATGGTGACACTCTGGGGACACCCCCTGGCCCCCCCGGGCCCTGTTTCGCCCCCGCTTACCCCGCGATGTTGGTGGTAGAGACGCTCTTGGAGAGGGAGAGGGAGGGTCGGCCGCGGCGGGGACCCAGCAGCGTCTGGCGGAAGCTCTCCGAGGGGTAGATGGCCGAGTTGGGGCGCTCCCGGATGGCGGCTGGGGGGGGGACACCGGG